TCCTGCCCAGCACCCCAGCAGCAGAACATGGGGTGGCAAAGCCTCATCACCCCCCGCTCCCTGTGAGCTGCAGGGGCACATGGAGAGAGCACAGGGACCCCTTCCCCATGCCCACTACCCAGGAACAGCCCTTCCCAAAGAGCCAGGAAGAGCAATGGCCCCTTTTCTGATAACCTTCAGGGAAATGTGCATCTGTGGGTTGCCCAGTGCCCTAAGAAGAGGAAAGWGGGGGCACAGCTGTGATGCTCTGCAGCGCTGGCAGCTGAGCTGAGCTGTGGCAGTGCCACCGACCTGCTGCACACATAGGTAAGGGACAGGGACCTGAGTGTGCAAAACGCTCCTCTCTTCAAGCCCTGCTTCTCTGCAGAGCCCCACACCTTTTCCCCACCTGCAGGCATGGCTGATGCTGTCCAGGTAGGAAGCAAACCCTCCCAAGGACACAGATTAATCACTGAGCACCGGCTGATCGCCTTCTGTCAGCTCAATCCTCAACCTGAGGAAGGACAATCCCCCCGCATGCCCATGGAACAACGAGCCCTCTGCAAACCCCTGAGCCTGACAGGAGGGGCTCTTTGGGGTCACAGCAGCGTGTCCAGCAGCATCAGSCTCCACTGTGACACCACGATTAACTTCTTAGAGAGCTCAGTGCCCAAAAGGCTGAGCTCTGTCAGATGYGCACGTAGGCGGAGGCAGGTGGGGAGCAGGGGCTGGCTGCGTGGAGATTCTTTCTTACGTGTCGAGCACAAGTTGTGGGAAGCAGCTCCAAACCAGCATAGCAAATGAAGGAATGAAAACGATGACAATGAGAGCCGGGTGAACAAATTGTTGTGAATAATTCATTGCAAATTATATTAACTGAGCAATCACTCAAATGTATTTTCCATTATTCTCCTCGATCTGCCTATAATTGAGCCTCTYATACACCAAGATGGTGTACATTAATCTTCGATTTATATTTTATCATYCACATCTGTGCTGTGTTAAATGGAAAAAGCTCCCACAGCAGCTGTGAAAATACAGCCTCAGTTTTGAGCCGCCCTCCATCAGATGTCCTGGGGCAGCCTTAGAAAGATTCTCCTCCCCAAACACAGCAAACCACTTCTCAGCAGCTCCCTCTCCTCCCAGCCTCACTTGTTCTCCCCAAAAACTACAAAGCAAGGCAAAGGTAAAAACAACATTGCAAAGGTCCTAAGGAAAATTCAACATGAGGCCATCGACTCTCCCACCTGAAGAGATATTACAGCGCTATAGTTTTTTTATTTGTGTTGCTTCCCACTGAGTTTACACTAGAAACAGCTTTTCCAGAAAAATTCCTAAACCACATGAAGGAAAAAAAAAAAAAAGCTTTTGTTAGTGCAGTTTCCCCTAAGTCAATAAGCTACACCATAAAATTCTGGATACTGTTACACTCCCATCTATACCAAGCACTTGCATACCTCAAGCATTAATAACTCATAAGAGGAAAAGCCAACTGGAACTGATAYGGATACTATGGAGGGGAAAATAAAACCCCCAACAGACAACTTCCTGATAGGAGGTCCTGATTCCTCCCAAAAACAYAGAGTGGCAAACTGTCTCTACTGGCAAACACGCTTAGCTGTGAGCTCCAAATTTATGTACATACACAGGCYATTACTTTTTAAAAATCCAGGTTTGTCTCGATCTTTTGAAAACAACAATTTATTTTGGAAGCCGTTCAAACTCTTCCAGTTCACCTTCTAATGACCTATACACTTTCACCACCTTTAAAAGGTGGGG